TGCACAAATATCTACTTGTCTTATATTTTTTGATAAAATAGTTTAAAAACTAACTTTTAGTAGCATTTTAAAAGAATAACAGTAAAGATAAACAAAAATTACAAAGCATTTTAAAGTATATTTCTTTGAATTATTTCAATGTCCCTTTTAACCTCAGAATTCAGATTTTCTATGCAAATTAATTTTATTAATTCTGTAAATATTTCAAGTATGTATGATTCTGTTTTGAGTGTTGCATGTGTAATGCAAATTTAGTTTAGATTCATTGTCTTGTAATAAATGATGATTATAATTTATCGATATAATGCAGAGCAGGGGTTTACATCACTTTTATCTATATTTGATAATTGAACCAAAATGCCAAAACGGAATAAACAGCCTTCCTGGGCAAATTGCTCCTTTCACTAAAAAATTTAAATTTTATTTTTTTTTTAATTGTCTGAAATCGTTTGTCACTCAGAGAAAAATATGTGTGCTAATTTTCTCACGTTTTTTTTTAATTGTCACAAAGATATAAAAAATTACTTATTCTCTCATATCTTTATAAGAAAATTAAGAAACTTCGATATTTGTAAATTTGTTTTATTATGTCTTGATTATGTTCATTAATAATTTAATTTATTCTAATATAGTTGCAACATTATAATTGAGCAATTTTGTCTGACAATTATTATGTTTATCATAATTTATATAAGTAATTTTTAAACAAATTTATATTACATGCAAATAATTGCCTCATATAAGGCTGCATATTTATATAAAAATTCAAATTGATATTACCATGATACTTTTTTGTTTATGATGTGTGTAATCATGAATAAAAAATATTGATTTAGTTTTAAATTTACTGCATTTTATGTTAATTTAGATATTGCAGATTTAAAATCAAACAGAAATTTGATATCGCTTTCTTCTATGAAAGAAAAATAAAATACTGTGAAAAGTTCCCAAGCATCTACAATTACAAATTTTGAAAATCATGAAAATTCCCATTTATTAGAATTATTATGCGAAATGAAAAGAAAAAAAAATTAAAAATGACACATAAAGATTCAAATTTATACTTAATACAAGATATTTAAATATTAATATATATTGCTGTTGATTTTTTTTCAACCTCTGCTTTCATATTTTGTGTGAAGATTATGTTTGGAGAAATTAATATTTTTGATTCTGGCCAAACAAAATGAAAGCAACTTTAAATATGTAATAATTTTTTCTACAACTATGTGCACATGTTCCGAATGTTTATGTTAATCTATGCATAAAAGAGAAAATATTCAGCTTAAATTAAGAAACATTAAATTGTGAAAATTAAAAATTTTTGCAGCATTATCTAAATTAAATAATTAACACTAGTAAACATTTTTTCTGAAACATTCAGAGTTTTTATGTGAAATCCGATATCTTTTTAAAAATGTGACCCGTTTTGAGTGTTATTTTCGTATGTCTTGTTTAGAATGCCATGTGTAAAAAAGTCATTATTTCTTTACTTTAAGTTTAAAATATTGTCAGGAATTAATAAAACTGCTTGTTAGAAATCGTTATAAATATCAATACAACTAACTTGATAAGAGATTATTTAGAATGAAAGATTTAAAAACCATAATTTCGCAACAAACTACATACTTGTTGTACTAAATTAAATTGGTTTATTCTCAATACAGAATAAAAATAAATAAGTAATAAATAATAATAATAATAATAAAATAATAATAATAAGTAATATAATAATAAAATAAATAAGTAATAAATAATAATAAAATAAATAAGCAATAAATAATAATAAAACACATAATAAGTATGGTTTATTCTCAATAGAGCATAAACCATACTTATTATGGGTTTTTTTTATTCTTAAAAGTTAGAGAGTTATGTCAATAATGAAAATCATGATTTAGAATTTTCACAACTGCGTTGCAATTGAGGGTGATTTAAATCCTCTATTTTAAGATTTTGTTTTATATTTATGAAATTCTTTCAAGTTTATTTTCAAATTATACAACAGTTTCTGAAATTTGTAGTTTCATACAAAAAATATATATTCTTAACTCCAAAAGAATTCTGAAGAGGTCCACCAGGGGCTGAGTGGTAAAGTCCCTGAACACTGATAGTTCGGTCTGAGTGTCCAATCTCGCGAACGGGCTTGCTCCATGGGAATTTTTGTGGTTTTCCCCGTGTGTAACGTGCATACGAGTCCGTTCCTCTTACAGAGTCCTCCACGAAAGCATTCCTCTCTTTAGGAAGAGAGACCTCGAATGCTTTGCCATAATTGAATAAAAAAATTCAAGAATTCTGATGTTTGTGGAAAGATATTCTACCCGATTTTTACAAAATTTGTTTTATTAAATTTCAAATAGCAATAGATATAAAATAATGCCCTTTCAATTTAGACATAGGCAGGACAATTGTGAAGCATTGTGTAACTGTTCCTAAATTTTTAATTTTTTTTTTCTTTTTGTTTTTGTTTTTTAAATCAAACTTGAAATTATGTAACTTTTCTTAAAATAATTTTATTTTCACTTTGATGCTGAATTATGAAAAATTTAGATTATTAGACCAGATAATCAAAAAATAAATAAATAAATAAAATATGATTTTTGTCAAGAATCTGCAGGCGGCAAAAGTATACGTTAGGCAAATTTTAAAATAATAAATTTGCATATAAAAACACAGTTTTTAAAATAATCAGTTATATCCTTTGTAAAATTTGGTAACTTTTACATCAAAGAAAGAGATGATTGTATACAATGAAAGTAGTTTGCATCTATAACTGTGAATTGTAAAGAATGCAATGAAATAAATACCACACCATGAATATTCATTAATCAACCTTTAAAAAAGTAGCATATGTAGAATATTTTATTTAAAAATTTGTGTTCTATTACTATTAAAATTTTTGAATATTGATATTTTTCTAAAACATAATATGCTTATTCAGATGATCTTTTTACATTAAATTTATGATATTCTTCATAATTATCTGGTGACTTTTTGGTAAAGGATTTTGCTTCATTGATTTTTATTGAAATGCAGTGTTTGTTTTAGGACGGATATTGATTTTATTCTTGGTAAATTCATTCGCAAATTTTATTCTCAGTTTTTAACAATATAAATATGAAATGGGATTTTAATTTTTCCTCTTCAAATTTGTATTAAATCTTCTATAAAAATAAAGTTACGGTTGTTATAAACATAGCGGCAAGTGGTTGATTGATTGACTGTACTAAATTTACGAATATAGTTATTAAAAATTCTAAGAAGTATAAATTGGCTAACATGTTGTGAAAAAATATATATAACACATAATTAGTCATTTGAAAACTAAATATTATTGATAATTTTCTCAATTTAATTAACCAGACATATAAACTCAAGAAGCAAAATTCGAGGATTATATGTACTTTTTTAAGATATGCTGTTCTGCATTATTGGTTTTACAGCAGTTTAGAGAGTATGCATACAGAAAAGAAAAACTATGCAGACTTGCTTAGACAGGCTACTCATATACAGGGTGCATAGGAAAAACCCCGTTAACCTGTAAATTCTTGCGAGCCGAGAGAGCTACAGCTATGCAAGTGAGGTAACGGTATAGTAAAGCGATTGCGAGTGAGGTAACGATATAGTAAAGCGATTGCAAGTGGGATAACGGTATAGTAAACCGATTGCAAGTGAGGTAACGGTATAGTAAAAAGAAACTACACCCGACCTGATGCAAACGATAAGCAGCGCTCCAAGTGGCGAAATTCGGAAGATAGTTATTGCAAATCGAAAACGAAAAGAGATAGAGCAAAACTGAAGATTAGAAAGGTTTAGAGCAGCAATTAATTAGTATGAAATGACATCTGGTTCACACGGATAAAGTAAACTGTCACTTGTTGACCCAAAGATATTCGCAATCGATGGCTTCCATTTTGTGTAAACGTTTCAAAAAAGTAGCCGTAGGTATTAAATACCGATCTTTTTATTGCAAAAAATACGTACGTGCGTCAATACAGTTTGATGACATCACACACATACACAAAACAAAAAATAACTGCAAATGCAAACTGTCAGACAGTGATAGCAAGTTAATGTTATCGTCTACATCGAAATGATAATGAGGTTTGAGATTATGCTGTTTGTATGAAGCGAGAGCCAACACCTTTTAAACTAAAATTTTAAATGCATTGGAAATTAAAGTTTCCAAAGACGTTACAGTATAGTACAACGTCACAATCTGCAACTGCGCTCTGCTACATGTCCGAAATGGTTCCAGCATCAATTGGGGACATCTTTCGGAATACAGGCTACAATGCATGTTATCCATGTGAACCAAATTTCGTTTTGATTAAATAATTGATATTCTAAAACTTTTTAATTGGAAATATTGCTCTAACTCTTTTCATTTTCGATTTGTGATGCCTATCTTCCGAATTTCTCCACTTGGGGCGCTGCCTGTCGTTTGCATTAAGTCGGGCGTACAGTCTCTTTATCATAAGAAAAGCTCTCGCCAATTAGTCTGCAGCTGTTTGTTACCAAAGAAACGAGTCTTGACCCATTTTCCGTAGGGGTGTCTTGAAGACGAATGATAAACTCTTTTCCCTCAGCAAACAGTCTCCAAAACCAAAACAACAATAAAGCAACCCTTGGTTCCCCCCTATTTGAAATACACTAGCCCTGTTGTTATAGCAACCGCCATTCACCAGACACTGTGGCGGGATCTATTCTTCTCGTAGACAGACGGTAGTCGCTTTACTATTTACTTTACCTCGCGTGCATAGTTGTAGCTCTCTCCGTACATAAGAATTTTTGGGTTAAAGTGACTTTAATATGCACCCTGTATATGGGAATATTTGATAAAATCACATAAAACCAAAAATTTAGCATAACAGAGCATATTACAAGAATATTCACAAATGAAAAATTCTTTAAGTATTGGTTATTCTAAAGAATTACATTTTTTAACATAAATTATTTTTTAAATGCCTGAAATAATGCTTATTTACATCCTTTCTTAGGTCGTAGTAAATGCCTTAGTACAAGCCATCCCAGCTATCCTTAATGTCTTGCTGGTGTGTTTGATATTCTGGCTCATTTTTGCGATCATGGGTGTCCAGCTTTTTGGTGGAAAATATTTTTTTTGCACAGATGATCCGAAGGAAGACAACAAAGTAAATATCACTTACGTAAACACCAAAGATGAATGCGAAGCAAAGAATCTTACCTGGAAGAATCCAAAAATCAATTTCGACAATGTGTTAAATGCGTATTTGGCATTGTTTCAAGTGGTAAGACTATAAAAAATGTTTGCTTTATTAGTCTGTAAGCTTTTTGAATGTTTCGGCTCAGATACCTGCAGTTTTTATAATTTCGTGATTATTTTTGTTGTTGTTGTTGTTGTTGTTGTTGTTATTACTGATCCCAACTGGTTTAGCCATTAGGCTAGGCAAGATCCATGAATCCCAAAATCGTCAATAAATCCAAAATGAAGGTAGGTCTTTTCAATAGGTCCTCTTTTACAGATCCCAAATAGGTGAGAAGATGTTCAGGAGTGAAATGACGATTGCTACATTTCTAATAATCATTGCTACATTTCTAATAATCATTTAGAAGTCCATGAACCAGAAGTCCAATAATTGTTGAAACCATGACTTACATTACGAAACATTTGATGCATATTACAGTATTTCAAATGCGATAATATTGCCGGTGCTATCTTAGATTATATTATTATTTTCATTATCGAAACATTTATAAAGTCATTCCCTTCTTTTTGAAGCAGGAGACGTGAAAAATGGGCATTCTCTTTACTGGGACTCAAACCCTGGATCTCTCAAATACGCGTCACTATGCTTCCAATTACACCACAGAGGCATTCGGAAAGGAGGAAGAAATTATTTACTCCCCCTTTTAAAGAGCGACAGAGGAGAAGGAGACCCAATCGCCAAATCTTGGTGGTGACAAATTATCATTTACCACATTTTACTTCGGGCGCTACTGGTAGAGGCATTAAGTTCTTTTTTAAACAAGAGAGGTGTAAAATTGTGCAATGGCTTAGCCTTGATTCGAACCCTGAACCTCTCCTATACGCGTCGTGTATGTTTCCAATTACATCACGAGGGCATGGGGAAAAGGAAGGCAACAATACCTTATACATTTAAATACTTTATGTAAGCATATACACACACTGGCCAATAAGCTAGAAACCTTTGAGATTTTCATTTGAGTGCGTGCTAGGGATGAAGTAGGCAATTTTTTTATGACGTGAGTACACGTGGTTAGAATGCTAGTACAACCCTTTCGCCGTCCTCTCCCATCCGCGAAAATTTGCCTCCCAACGGCCGTCTGTTTTTCGTAGCGCGTAATGCTGTTTTCTCTGTACATCATAACTTTTTATACAGGACTTTCGTAGTGGATGAATGTCAATGAATATTAAGTAAAATTAAGGAAGGAATTAAAGAATTATATTAAGAAATTATATTAAGGAAATAAAGCATAATGGAAAAATAATAATATCTCTGCTTATTTCTAATAGCAGGGTAATTTGATAACATCTGATCCAGGCGGTCCACTCCTCCCCTTTTGTTGTTGTAATCTTTTACAACTTATTGGTATTTTTTACAGTTCTTTTCCGTGCTTCCAACATCAATCACCGAGTTATTATGGACTGTACTCATCAAACGTATATCCTTCTTGCCTTTCTAATTCACAACCTCTTTTTTCTCTTTTTCTGCTGAGTAGACGTTGAAGCCATCTCTTACTGTCTTGTATCTTATGTAAAATGGCGCGAATATTCATAAAATCTGAGGTAAATTCAATTAAAAACAGAATGCCTCTGATTAGTGCTACCCTCTAGGAGGTATTAGAACAAACAAAAATAAAAACACAAACAAGTAAACATTTAGAAAGCTATTTAAACTTTTAAAAGTTTTAAAATGTAGAAGAACGCTTTAGGCTCGTTATGGCCGCCCTGCGAAAGTTTAACTTCAACACGCTAGACGCGTTACGGACGTCGAAGAGGATAAGTAAGGTGTAAGAGTGTTTTTCATAATGAATGAAGTATGGGAACAACGACAGATCTTTCATCATTTGAAAAGGGGCTTATTTTTGGTGTCCGTTTAGCGGGGTCCTCGATTTCGGAGACACAAAATCTCACTGGGTTCTCAAAAGCAGCCATATCAAATGTTTTCAAAAGTTGGAATCATCAGTTGCAGTTTTCCAAGAGAGTGATTAACGTCGTCTCCAACGAATTATACGCAGAACAGGGACTCTACTGTACTTTAACTGACACAGATAGTCAACCAAGTCTCTTCCGAACAGATTTTCATCTCGAACCATACGCATAGAAGTGCAGAGGATACGAATGCATAATCGGGTACCTGTGAGAAAACACTCATCTCTGCCCGACATGCAAGAATTCGTTTGCAGTAGTGTCGGGAAAGGAGATACTGGACATGTGAGAATTGGAAACGGATTATGTGGTCAGATGAATTACTCTACACTTTATATTGCACTGATGGATATCGTCAAATTCGGCGAGAACCCCATGAAGCCATCTTGCGACTGTGGTCTGGTGGGGGTATCGTGACATAGTTAGGCTGAAATGGAAGTGGTTTCCTGGTGTCCCTCGAGGGTAAACAAACAGCCATGAGATACCTAGATATACTGGCAGAATCAAGTGCACCCTGCAATGTTGCTTTTTTAACATAATGGCGACGGATACTTCATGGGCGATAATGGTAGCTTATTGAGAGGAAATCACCTGCTTCAAATTTTTCGCATCATCTTCTGCACGTTCCGTTAGAAGCTGCGTTTCCACCAAAAACTTTCTCTAAATTTCGACACGCTTCTGTGTTATATCTTTTTTGTTGGAATTCGTACAAAATACAGTGCCATAAATGAACTTTATCGTCAGCCATGTTTACACGACCGCATCTCACTTAACAATGACATGAGACACTTTTGTTTCGGGTAATTTAGAAGAGCAGATGTGTATAAATTCAACGATAAAAAGAGACATCCATATACACCTCAAATAAACATGTGAGTACGTGCTGAAACTTGAAACAACATTATCGGTCAGAACTTTCCGGTAGAACTTATAATTGGTTTCACCCTATCCGGCATGCTGGTAAGGAAACTGGTCGCCATAGCCCTAGTCCTGAGCTCGAATTCCGGAAAAATAAGTATATGTTTAGTGATTTTACGGATTTTACGGCATAAGGTCCATTTAGAAGCTGTTGTTAAGAAAAAAGGGAGAAGAGATCCTTCAATCTGTCTTTCGGTGTGCTTTCAGTGGCGTAAATAAGGGTATGCAAAGAGTGCCGTCGCATAGGTGCCCGAAGGCTTAAGGGGCCCTTGAGTGTTCTGCTGAACTACATTCACATGATTAAACTTTAAAAATAAGCATTCTTTTATAAATACTATGACCAAGAGCAAGGTGCTATCATAAAAGTTGAATTCAGTGTCTCAAATTCATTTGTACGGTTTGTTTTCGAGACATCTGTACGTACGGACAGAATAAAGGGCTCTTCCTTTCAAAAAGAATTATAAAATGGGCTTAAAACGGATTCAAAAGGATTCTTTTTTCGTGACATCTGTACGTTCGCATATACGTGCATACATATGTGTACAGAAAGGTAGAGATATATATCTCGCATAACTCAAAGATGATTAGCCGTAGAGCGTTAAGATTTTGTATATGGGAGTGCTATAATAGCTAGTTGTGCACTTCACGTTTTTATTGCAATTGGCAAAATATATATCCACCCCCTTACCCATCTTAAAAGTACTGTAAATTTAACAGGGGGCCCAAAAATGTTTTTGCATAGGGGCCCAAGAATTATAGTTACGCCATTATGTGCTCTCCATCAAAGGTGAGATGGAGTTGGACAAAATTTGTCACTCATGAAATCTTTAAATCCTTTTCAAACAATTGGCACAAAACCTTTCCTCTCTTAAACATTATGAACTCGTGGAACTTATCTTAGCCATCAGAAAGATTGGTCACGACAATAACAACAACAACATATTTAGTAAGAAATGAAAGACAAAGTTCCGGAAAATATTATCCAAATATTTAGTTCATACGATCAATAATTCAATAAGATCAAAAAGTAAAAAAAGTTAAATTCATTCCAAAATCGTAAACCATATTTTGAAAGGTAATTCAACAAAAATATCACAGAATTTTTGAAAATGTGTTTTTAATTAAATTTTTTAAACAAAAAATAAATATTCAGAGGCTTGTCTGACATGACTCGGCCTTTCAAAAGAGAAAACCTGGAAGTTCAATATTTGATTCTTAGAAAAAAGATTTGGTATTAGAAGAATAGAAAAAATGCACATTCCAAACAGAAAAAAACTATTTTATGTTTCGTTTAGAAATATTTAAAAGTTCTGACATTACTTTCGAAACCTAAGGTTATCACATTTCTTTTTAAACTTGTCTGCATTTCAAATTCATTGCAATTAGAATGCGATATTATGTAATTCATAATTAGAATTATAGTTATTTCCTCTTCGATAATTTGCATGTATATCTAATTTTCTTTTCCAAAGCAGATATTTACATTTTATCTATCATTAAATTTCAGGCAACTTTTAAAGGCTGGATTGATATCATGTATGCTGCTGTGGATGCAAGAGGAGTACGTAATTAGTTATATGGTTCTAGAGTAAATCCATATTAAATACGCAATATAATTCTTTACTTTTGAACTAAATTACATATATATATATATATATATAATTAAAAATATTTTATTGAAATTAATAGCATTGTATTTTGGAATTTAAGGCCTTCTCATGACATTCGTCAAATGTGTTTTCTGAAAATTATGTGTTTATTGGTCTTTACATCAAGGATTTAAAAATTAATATTCTAAACTAATATACTTGCTATTTTATCCTCTAAATTTCATGTATTAAACTAGTATAAGTATTAATAATTAATTCCTGAGTAATCATAAAGAATATTATCTGTAAAATGTAACCTGTTGATAAATTTAAAATCACACTTCATTTATCAATAACTATTCAAGGCTTTTATTATTTTTATTTATTTATTATTTTATGTCTTTTATAATATACTGTAGTATATTTGCGTATATATTTAGTATTTTGTAGTTTCCTCCGCCTAGCACTCATTAAATTAATTTGCTCTGATTTTGTCTGATCTATCTCATTCTGAATACCAGCAAAATATGGCGCGTTATTTACTATGAACTTATGCAGCATCATTACATCTTTGGAAGCATAAACGAATGAGCTCTAAAAGACTGTATGAAGAATTATTTCCAGGTCTTTAAGTGCAACCAAAAATCAGAAAAATGGTTTAAAAAACCTTTTATTCACTCAATATAATTTAACAGATGGACCTTATTAGGCTTCTACAAAGCTAACACTTCTGGTTTAACTCAAACAAGTAATAAGGAACTTCAAAAAAATATATAAATCTGGCATAACGGCTTACAGGAGGATTTAGAGCGCAGGAAGGTTCTGGCTCGTAAAAGTCGGCGTAACAAGCTTAATGGCTAGAAGCGCTGAGCGCCACAGAAACCTAATCACTAGTAATTCAAAATAGCAACGTGACCTTCAAGCAGACATAAAAAAACATGCTCTAAAATCACCTTCCAAAAGCCTTCCTTTCTTTCATTTGAATACATGCGCGCTAGCTTATAAACATTCTTGGAAGAAAGCATGAGTGAAAACGAGACTGAAAGGAAAGTTGCTTTAACTAAAAATTAACTGTTAATAAAATTAAGTAAGTCTTCCCAAATTTATTGCAGTATTAAACTGATTTAATGATAATAGCTTGAAACAAAAAGGTAATAATAAAAATATTTATGCATTGTAATTCCCCGCAAGAATCAATTAAATAAGGGAAGCAAGAAAAGAATATACAATTATTAGCAAAGCGTATTCTATGCAATATACAAGTATTTATATACGGAAACCATACTTGTATAAGACACACCTCGATTGATTAAATGAAACAATTTTAATAGTACGTTTACTGTCATATATTAACTTCCACAATAAAATTATGATTAATATATTCAATACCTTGAAAACATATATATTATATTTCAAAAGAATAAAGTAAGGTTAAATTTAATTTTAAATAATTCTCTTGCGCTATTGCTGCAAGTAATTAAATTTGAATTTAGCAAACATTCTCTATTCGCAAAAAGCAAATTAAAAGGCAAATTTAAAGTTAATTTAATGCAAACAAATAATGTGCATATACAGATTGATTTCATAATTTACTATAGCTATTTAATTTTTCGTTTTATTTCGTGAATATGTGTCTTTTTATGCACTTTCACTAAAAACTATTTAACTTATCTTTACTAAATTTGTCACTCTTTTGGAATACATGCTACTTAATAATAATAAAAAGGATTTTAATTTTTGGTCTAAAAATAAAACGATAAGTTTTTTTTTTAATTTAAAAAATTGTACTAATTTATCCATCTAATGCATACACAATCACATTACACAAATTTATCCATTAAATCTATTTAACTTACCTTTACAAATTTTGTCACGCATTTAGAATGTTTGCTACTTAATAATAATAAAAAGTATTTTTATTTTTGGTCGAAAAGGCAAAATTATAAGCTTCTTTAAGTAAAACTTTAAAAAATTATACAAATTTTATTAATTAATTTTTTCAATTTACTAAATTAAACTTAAATAGGTTATACCTTAGGCAGCTTGAAATTAAAATGCGGTGTTAATTATCAATATATTTTTGAAAGAAAATTACAAGGAGTAGGTGTAATGAATAAGGTAACATCTACCTCTTGTTATTTTATTATAATAAAATAATAAGAGGTAGATGCTTACACAAAATAATTTTTGAACTACGCTATTGGCTTCGTGATTCTAAAACATCTGAACTGAGAGTTCAGATCATAAATTCTAATAAAGAACTTCTCTTCTTATAACTAGGAAAATGAACAACCCGAAGAAGAAGGACATTTAATGATGTACTTGTATTTTGTACTATTTATTATTATTGGTTCTTTCTTTACACTTAATCTATTCATTGGTGTGATCATCGACAATTTCAACGAACAGAAGAAAAAGATAAGTATTTTTTACAATTATTTTATTTACGTGTAATTTAATCAATATATTCACGTGCTTATATTTCCTGTTGTAGTGTGTTAGAATGGCATTCTTGTTATATTATATATTTGAAGTTTAGATTGTTTGATATGTTGTAAGATCTTAATACATTTCTTTGAAAGTATATATTTAAAATTTTAATATGAGCTTTAGTCCATATTTGAAATTTAAAGCATTTTGTGTATTGTTCAGTCTTGAAAATTTTCTTTGAATATATATGTAAATATATATATGATTGTCAGGATATGGCTAGTATATTAAAAATTATATATATATATATATATATATATATATATATCCATATCCTGATACATGTTCGTTTAACATATTATAAAGTTATTTAATATTTGTTTGAAAGAATATATTTAATATTTTTAAATCTTTATCCACGTGTTATATGTATTTGAAATTTAGATCGTTTTATGTATTGTTAAGTGTTGAAATTCTTTTTGTACGTATATACTGAGCATTTTTAATTAGTTATTCTTATTTAATATATATCTGAAACTCATATACTTTTCCAAGTTATTAAATCTTCAAATATCATTTTAAAAGCACATATTTAATTTATTATTCACTTAAATATATATTTTAAGTTTAAATCATTTGGGAATTGCAAAATTCCATAGTAATATTGTATATATTTGATGTTTTTTAATAGTAAATTCCCGAAAGTTACTATAATCAATCAAGTTAAAAGACAGGTCACTCTTTGAAAAAAACGTAATCCCGTTGTAAATTGCTTCTACAAAGCTTTTGGAAGGAAGTTTTTTCCAGCAGTCCCAGTAGACTGTTAAATAGTTAATGGCATCGACAGCAGAGGGCGTTTATACGTACATTTTTAGAACAACTTCAGACAGTTTAAGTAACGTTTTAAATATAAAGAGTATTTTTTTAAATGTTTCCATCTGATAGCCTTTTTTCTGGACATATATCTCTGCATCGTGATTTCCATGATAGAAAGGCTCTTAGTAAAATGTCTAGGGATATTTATTTCCATTCCTCTTCTACTATAACCGAGACCACCAATATACGGTGGGTTTGCGGTTAGAAAGAGCTTTTTCAAAAGACCAGAAGCAAAATAAGTCCATGAATGAAATGTAGGAAGACTGCGAAGAAATACGTTGAAAAGGTACATATGCAATACCTGTATCAGTTTTCATTTTTTTAAGGAATGCAGAGGTACTTTTCGAAGTATGACACGTTGCTTTGATATGTTGATTAATTTTCGCTCATTGAAAGTCATTGAAATAAGGAGATGGAATTTCTTCCATAAATATCCGATGTAAAAATTTTCTCTTGGTACTACACTGAATTGGTATGAATACGTTTCCCCATTCTTCTCATTTTTAATTTTTCACTGTAAGAGAATCCCGTAACAATCATAAACCCTTGATGAAACTTTCTTTGCATTTATGGAATCAGGTTTGTTCCTTTTTTTTTTTTTTTTTTTTTTTTTTTTTTCCTCTTCGTTTTCAATAATGAATAGACCATTTTTTTATTGCAGTCATTTAGGTAATCCAACGCTTCATCAAGGGTCACAATCTATAATTTCCCTTTATCTCCTACTAAACAGTTTTCACACAGAGGTCTACAAACTGTTCTGCGTTGAGTCACATTCCTCGGTAAAAGCTGTTGAACATTATGTTTCTTAGCTTTTATGTCGTAAATCTTGGGTTTTTATTTTATTAATTGTTGCTACAGGTGTATTTAAAGACTCTGCAATTGACTTCTGCGTCGGTGAATTTTCTCTTGATACCAACGATTTAATTTTAGAAACATTAGAAACAGTACGTACGCTTTTCGGGTATTCGTATGGAGTCTTCTTTCCATTTAGAAGTAATGACTGACTGCTTTTCCCTTTCCGATTAAGAATATTGCTTACTTTGGGCTCAGAAATTTTAATAGCATGCGTTTCATAAAATTTTTGAATTGCGGAATAGAAATGTTTGTCTTAAGAGAGCGCAAAAACGTATTCTTCAATCCACAGCTTTTTTTTTGCGTGAGACATTTTGAAAGAAGGATAAATTTAAAAGACGATATTTCTCATTTCAAATAATAAACTGTTGCCAGAAGTTTTATTCCAAAAATGTTCGTTTTTTTTTATTTTTTATCGAAATCGTTCTATAAACGTGTAAGAAAAAACTTAATATGCCACTTTCTTTTCTTTAAAGTAGCGCTTCTTTAGGAAAAGGAATTTAAATGCATTAATTTTCTTTTTACTTATTCAACTGATATTTGTTATTACGGATTCAAAGTCCGTTTATTGAAATGGAGAAACGTAATTTGAATGTTTAAAGCAAATCGTCACTTAATGGCATTTTTACTTAACACCCAGAAATCATGTACGTGTGCAAATCGTCAAACCATACCCACGGGTAAGAGAAACGTCACTTGCCAGAAAAGTTTCCACTAGTTAACGGATATTTGTTGCTCTTTCTCATAACGCAACTCTTATCAATCTTTTGATTTGAAAGAAAATTGTAGCTTTTATAATTATCTTCGACTTACGAGTGGCCAAGGAGACATAACCATTGCAAAAACTAGTCGCTCGCCTCAGAGTCTGTTCGCGGCAGACAGACAGTCTTCATGCAGTTTGCACAAATTTTCTTACATGTAGCATGATTACAATATTAATTTTCCTTAGAAATCCTCCGCGAAGACATCCATCATAAGATAAATAGCATTTGCGTGCTTTGCCATAATCAGTTAGCCTATTAACTATCTCCTGACTCATCTTCTGATATCAGGCAGTCTACTTTTTATTCTTTAACCCTTAGAAAACCGAAGCGTTCGCTAATCTGTGTCTGTAAAGAGGTGTGAAGATTTCAAATGACACCATTTCTACTTCCTAACAAAGAAGCTTCCATTAGCCTTTTAGGACAAGTTATCTGCAATACACTGCTACAATGCATTTGGGAAATTGTACGTGCTACTGCATACTTTAGGGGAAGGGAAGAAAAATGCATCGCAACTACGGCAGTTTCGGGCGGTTGTGGTCGTTTGAATGAAAGGCTTTCAGAGGGTTAAAGTTGAATTATACATTGAAGGGCACAATTTTAGTTGTACTTAATAAATTCAGGAAAAGAAGGGTGATACAAAAGCACATTTTGATATCCATCAAAGCATTCGAAAGTTTTAAGAAGATATCGGGAGGTACAGAATTAGAGATAATGTATGTCAAGAACTAAATTCACTTTCCCTAAACATCAGCCTTTGTGAATTCTTCTCTAAAATCTTTATCGCTCCTTTTATGCTGTGTTATGTGTATTGCATGAAACATAATGTTTATATAAATATGTATAATAATAATATGTTTATAATTTTAGATTTTGCTGGTTAGTCAGGATTAGATTTATGCAACCTATTTGGGACCATATTTCTTATAAGTCAGCTATTATTTTCTAGAAGATATTTCATATGCTATATAGATATCTAAGATATATAGAGTGTTTCATTCGTAGAAGGCCCAGAGTTACTGTTTATTTACAGGCATAATATAAGTTATGATGTCAAATCTGGTTGTAACAGTGATACTTTGAAAGGTATCTATGATACCATAGCAAATGTTGGAAATAGCTGTCTCGTACCTATAGCTCTTCAAACCCCAACTTTCTATGTTCGTTACTATCTGAGTGCCGAGATGTCGTTAATTCATTTTTTTTTAAGATACTCGTTTCTCAATTTGTTGGGTTGTGCATGGCTTAGTAACACTAAACTTTCTCTTTAACATGCAATGTAATAAGTCTAGAAAACTAACATCTGAAGATACTGGTTGCATCATAGCACCTGCCTTTTTTAAGTCTTTCGCAACGGTAGAGGGCAAAATCTGTTTATTTGAAAAACCCGTATATACGTTTTGTTGGAATCGATTTCCTTCCCCCATGCCAAGTAGAATGCTACAGCGTTAAAAGTAACCTGCTTAAGCGAAGCGATTACTTCTATCTTGGGATCTTTGTGCGGTTTCACTTACTGTGTGCAGTTTTCGCTCAGGACAGAATTGCAAATGTGAGCATCAATAGATAAACGTTGAGGAGAAGGAACGTACACTCAAATAAGAGAGCTACTTTTAGTTGCTTCAAAAGAATGAGTCATGAACTAACGTGATGGGGAAAAGCACCAGGTATAAAATGGACTTAGGCGTTCGGGCGACCTGCCGATGTCTGAATGGTCGGGCATTTCGGTCGTCTTCGATGTGATAGTGGTAAACTCTGATTGCCGCTAACGTATATTAGAGCATTACTGACGCAGTCTCTTTGCCTGTTGGGCGGAACTGTTAAAAAGTACTTAGCTCAAGCATGAAAGCACATCTATTACACTTCCAAAATGTCTATGGAATGTTACATTACCAAAACGTCTATGATCCTTCGCATTATCGTCGAATAACTATGATCGAAAATTATTCAGATCTTGAACCACACACAATATTAAAATTACAAAACATTACAGCAAAAATAGTATATTCAGATCTCATCAGACATTTTGGACTTTCTATCAGATATTTTTGGACATTCTAGCAGACATTTTTGGACATTTTTTCAGATATTTCGTATGTTTATGTCTGCAGAAACGAGACGGGGATTGAGAATTTGCTATGGTCGATCCACTGAATATACTGAAATAATTCTGATGATTCTGCTGATTGTACGCTACAGCAGTTGGTCTTACTTTTGTACCATATTTGTAATAAGCCTTTGTGTACCATATTTGTAATAAGCAATCGGAGTTTTCTACAAATGGAACACCTTATGTGAATTCTATGATTTAACTTACATTTTTTATTAAAATAAAATATGATTTTCCTCAATAATTTTTTCAGAATATCAGTCTTTGATCTGAATTTACGTACTTCATATTAAGTATAAAGAAAATAAATTATCTGAAGCATTGGTAAATATAGTAAAATTAAATTAGTTTTCAAAAGTCTGTTATTTTAAATGTGAACAAATTGCTGTTATATGTTAATACACATTTTAATGAATGCAGACTTATATGAAGTACAAAAGAGAACAGTGTAATTGCTTATTATCTATCTTGCTTGCACAAATCTGTCTGCTGCACTTTTCTTTGCTTGTACTTTTCTTAACTGATAATGATTCTCTCAAATGATAATGATTCTTTCAAATGATAATGATTCTCTCAAATGATAATGATTCTCTCAAATGATAATGATTCTCTCAGATTCCAAGCTTAAATTATAAGCTGTATTTTGTAAAGTCATTCTGATTTTTAGTTTCGGATATTTTTCGGGTAAAACCCGAAATGAAAAGCCTTCTTGAACCGAAAAAGGGGTAAAGTAGGGGATTCATAAACTCGGGTTTTACCCGAAGAAGAAATAGCGTGATTATAACTAATCAAACTCTCCGTTCTAGCCGAAACCACCACTTTCGGCGGGAAATTCAATTTCATATTTGACCATTTTAAGGTAGAGCCATTTTATTAAACCATCTTTTAAAAATATTCTCAATTTTTAATCGGTAATCATTTTCCAATTTTTAATCGGCAATTGTTTTAAATATTTTATTCCTTATTCATACTATTTTTCACATTCATTCCTGTTTTATGCATCATTCCCACTTTCCCCTTTTTGAAAAATAATTATTTAATAATAATTTAATCAAAATATTTAAGCTAAATATTAAATTTAACAAATATTTTATGCTTGAACTTTTTTATCTCTTGCATGGTTTTTTCAGCATCTCTCTTTCCCTTCACTTTTCACTTTTCTTCACTTTTTATTTTGGAAGGCAATGCATACACGACTAACTATTTTTATCGCTATGTACGCAGGGGGATCTCTGGAAATGTTTATGACAGAAGATCAGAAGAAGTACTACAATGCTATGAAGAAGATGGGAGACAAGAAGCCAGTGAAAGCTATACCAAGACCAAGGGTAATAAGAAAATTTTAATTGATTATTACCTAAACAAAATTGAGTTACTCATGTGAAACCGCGTAATGAAAAAAAAAAATTAATACTTTAATCGAGGACACAATTTAGTTTTTTTTTTTTTTTTAATTAAATATTTCTTATTAAATTTGAAGAGAAGATATATGGGTACTGTTGAATGTGCCGGATTTAATTAGTTAGTTAATCAGTTTTCAACTAGATGGCGCCACCTCTTTTTCAGATTATTTTGTTTGTAAAAGCAATGTTTATGCTTATCGTTTCTTTCACAGGCAATTTTTCCTTTGAATTTGCGAAGAGTTTTTAAAATGCTGTCTTCGAAACTTTGTTATCAATTTACCCCCAAATAAATTTACCGTTTACATTACAAACAGTTGAAATAAAAAGCAAATGAAATAACTGTTTTCTTAAGAGGCAACAGTGTTTAATTTATCTTTCTTAAATTCTCTATCTCTTTTTTTAATACTCTGCTTGCAACAAATTGTTTGTAAATATGTTTTGAAACAACTAAAAAAAATGGGATACTTCTACACCACCCCCCCACTCTACTGGGCCGACTGATGAAATTTAACTTGCTTTTTCCATGTCTTGAAGTGCGACTTAGGATATAATCACATTTATTATGCTATCTAGCAGGGTTGGCCAAACTTCATGTCAGTAAGAGGCGCACGTTTGAATTCACGAATGTTCGAGAGCCGCATCTAGATTTTCTAGCCACAAGTTCATATTTACATCATTATAGAAGTAATGGAGGAGATTTTAAGTAGAAAGAAATCCCTGATAACTTTGTAAAAAGATTCTAAACTAATTAATTACTTCCTTTTGGACATTGAATAGTTTTAGTTTACCGTATTTCATACATATATTTTATATGCATGAGCCGCACATATTGTCTGTGAGAGCCGTATCAGGCTCGCAAGCCGCACTTTGGCCACCCCTGATATATAGCATCGTTTTAACATAGGTATTCTCACACAATATTGGACATTTTATGAAATCACATACCATTTTTTTTTTTCCCCGTGTTTGGATTCTAGGCTTCAAATTTTGCCAAAGTGCCAACTCATGTAAAAATCGCAGGAGTAGTTTTTAAAAAATTAGCTCCTGAATGTTAATTCAGTTTGGTGTATGTTTATCAGTATCTCTTGTCAAACTTACTTGATTCTTTCCTTCACAATTCGAAATTTATGTTCAATCCAAATAAAATACAAAGTATTTTCCATCACCTAAAAATCGAACCAATTTTCCTTTGAAAGTCGTCCACGAAGGCATTCGTTCCCTTAGGCAGGTAGCCCTCGAGGCTTTGCGGTAATCACATAAACCAAACCAGACCTATATATTGGCGCGTTTTGAAATTTGGGATATTTGTTAAAAACCGATAATAAAGCCAAATATTATTTGCGCACTATATTAAAATTATTTCAAAGAATGAACGATACACCTTCTTTTTTTCCCTCCAATGAAAAGTAAAGAAATAAAGGTTGCTATAAATTAAGAATTTCGCCGAGTAAATTATTTTTTGGCGCTAACTGAAAAATTGCCGCCAAGATAAATTTTGAAATTTCGCGGTAAGTTTCTCACCAAATTTTACAAAATTTAATATTTAGGTATAATTTGAGTCGCTGATTCGAAATATGAAAAAAAATCGGTATGTAATTTCATAAAAAGTTTGATTTTTGAGTCAAAATGCTTTATGTTAGAAATATGCTATGTATAATTTAATATATATCCTAAGTTCAGGCATGGAAAACGCAAGTTTACTTTTGTCAATTGATCGAATAAGAAGCGAGATATAGAACTGTCCTTTTCTTTTTTGTACAGAGTTGGGTTTTTTTTATGACTCCTAAACAACAGGAATCCAAATTAGTCACGTGACTTATTTCGTGGAGAAGAACTGAAAACGAACTTAAAGTAGTCTATTTTATTATTATATATATTTCTAATTGCTAAGAAATATTTTATGTATATTCGTGAATTATTTTAAATGAAATTAGTATTCATTATTTTATTTGCTCGTCTTAACCATTGATAAAGGCCAGGCTTTGCTAGTAATCAGTCACATTATCTTCAGTAATCGTAAAGATGAGGATAATGTTGTTATTGAATTAGAATACTAAGGCTGTTCGCACATTTTGTAGACGATTTTCATTGTACTTACAGAAATATTTTATCTAAAATTTTTGTGTTTTATCAGGTTGTCCGGAATATAATGCAGGTTTTCGCAATTGTTCATCTTTCCTGTACATTTTTAGGAACAAAAATATTTTGAATTACATTTATTTATATATCATTTTGAAGCTCTGTTTTCGCTCTATATTTCTAAAGTAATCATTTTGTTCCAAAATTATTTTCAAAAATGGTTACTAGGTGTTTTTGTTTAGATGTCAAAACGGGATTTTCTGCAAATTTACTTTCATGAGAACAAGGTAGGCCAAAGCGCAGCACAAACGGCTCGAAATGTCAGCAAAGTATGGGGTGAGAAAGGTGTTCATGAATCTACAGTTCAACGGTGATACCAAACTTTTCGTCGTGAAGAATTTCACCTGGATGATCAAGAGCATCGTGGACGCTCTTCAGCTGTTGATGACGATGATTTGAAAACTTTAGTTGAAACAAACCCGTGCATAACTGTTCGAGAACTTCGCCTAAGCAAAACAACGATTTCTGATCTCTTGAATCGTATAAAAATGTCAAAGAAACTAGATAAGTGGGTGCCTCACGAATTGAGCGAAAATAAAAAAAAATCGCCGTTCTGAAGTGCCGTCTGTTCTTCTTCTCCTCAACAAAACGACACCTTTTACTTGATCGAATTGTTACGTGTGATGAAACGTGGATTCTTTCCAACAACTGGCAACACTCATCTCGGTGGTTGGACCACGGTCAGACACCACAACACTTTCCAAAGCCAAATTTGCACCAAAAGAAAATTATGGTGCCTGTTTGGTGGTCTGAGGCCGGTCGCATTCACTACAGTTTCCTAAATCTGGGCGAAACGATTAATGCAGATAAGTACTGTCAACAAATCAACGAAATGCACCAAAAATTGCAGCCCATGTGCTCAGCATTGATCAACAGAAAGCGGCCAGTTCTTCTCCATGGCGATGCTTGGCCGCACGTCGTGCAACTGACCCTACAGAAAAAATTGGACGAATTGGGATACGAGACTCTCCCTCTTCCCCCATATTCCTCTGACCCATCGCCGACCGATTACCACTTTTTAAAACATCTGGATAACATTCTGCAGAAGAATTGCTTCAGAAACCAAGACGAGGTCAAAAGCTCCTTTGACAACTTTATCCCGTGCAGAACTCCAGAATTTTATTCCACCGGCATAAATAAACTTATATCTCATTTCGATTAATAAAATTGTTTTTGAGTTGAGTTATGATACTTTAACTCTTTCGCATCGAAGTCGCCCCAAACGCCCGAGCATTCGGATATCGGCTGGACGCCCGAAACGCCTGAATAATTTCCTACCTAGTGCTTTCCCCCCATCACGTTACTGTATTACTCATTGCTTTTAGTTGTTGTTAAATGGCATGTCAATCATTCTTTTGAAGCTACTAAAAGTAGTTCTATACGTATGTCCTCTCTTTCTTTGTTACTGTCAGTGTTATCTTTGATCCGAAGTTGCAATCCCGTCCCAGGGGAACTCACCAGAGTGAAAGAGTTCTCGCTTTACTTAGTAGGTTTTAGTTAGCGCGTATATTTAATTTGTAGGGAAGAAAATATTCCAGAGAATTCTTAGAAACGGGCGTTTTCGATGTTTGGGGAAAAGAGATTTTGCCCTCTCTCGATGCGAAAGAGTTAAAGATATAGGTTAAAAACCTACATTATTTTCCGGACAACCTAATAAATGTTCTCTTTAATAACCCTTATTCATTATCTTTCTGCACCGTAATTTCACAGACAATAAAGCCTTTTTTAGTATCGAAAGAGGTATTTTACGATATTCCTCTTGAACCGCTTTCCAATGTCCAAGGCGGGTTGTAGATGGACGTTTGGACAATGCGCTTTTAAAAAATCCAAATGCATTTTAAGTCCAAAAGCGCAAAAATCCGTGGATGATATGTCAAGAGATTTAGTAGGGATATGATTCAAGGGATATGGAGTGAAGATATGGCTTTGATGCACGTTTCTTGTTCCATTTTTCCAGGAAATTAACAGTGGATTTTGACGTGTCGTTACTTGCTTTGTCTTGATGCAGTTCTACTGATTGACCCCACTGTGTGTAAAGAGAAGGCATCTCATATCTGAAAATTGGCATAAAATATGTTCCCGACAATATGTGGAATTAACCTTAACAGTTTTTTGCACTTCTTCAATTTTTATTTGTCGTTATATCAAAAACAAACAACAATCACAAATCCCTTTGAAAATCTTTTTTTAGATTCTTTGTTCCATGTTCTTCTTCTCTTTGATGATAATAAATGGATACCTTTTATTGCGGTCATTTGAATATATACAAGATTCATCGATTGAGACAACGTTTTTCCATTTTTGTTCTAATAATTGTTTTCTGTTAGAGAATTCTGCAGAAATACTGCTTTCGGCGATGTGTCGTGCAGAAAGCCGATGCACATAACGCTTTTTCGTATTGTTAAGATTCAAACCAGCATTAGTCACTTTGTTTATAGTTGACACTGAATATTTTAATGATTGTGCAACCTTTCCTTGACGGATTGTCTTTTAACATTACCTTTACAACATTCGAAACATTCCGTTTTGTCCTTGGATATGTATCTTGAACGATTTTCGTCCTTGAAGCCAAACTATATTTTTTTTCCTTTCTTATTGACAATAATATATATCGTTGCTTTATATACCGAAAACTCATGGCTTTACAGTATTTTTTAACACTTACGAATAATTTTCTTCGGAAAGAGTAAAAACCTAGCCTTCTGTCTATTGCTTTTTTAAAAGCACCATTTTGCATGAAAACAAAATTTTCAAACAGCAGGCAATAATTTACACTTTCAATAATATGGTTGCAGATTAAAAAATTTTTTCAAACCAGGCGATTTTTACTTCCTTCTACGAAGTATAAAGGAAGTACTGTAATCGCGAAAAATGTCGAGTATCGTATTTCAACGAAAACATACATTTTGACTGCTATCGAATGCAATTTAACGATGTTTTTGGGTGACATCTGTTCGTAAGGACAGAATAAAGGACTCTTTTCCCCAAAAAAATTATAAAACTCATTTAAAATGAATTCTGAAGATATTTTTTCCTTGGCGTCTGTACATAAGTATGCATGTATGTATGTATCTCTCATAACTCAAAAACGAGTAACCTCAGAACGATGAAACTTTGCATATAGGACTACTGTGACATGTAGATGTGCACCTCGTATTTCGGTTGCAATCGGCCGCACCAAAAGTATATAAATGTATGTATATATATATCCACTCTGTTACTCGGCTCAGTGAGCTCAGTTTCTTTACTCTTATAGGTTTGTAATTGGCATTTTTTGCTTGAACAATGATTGTTATGTTGTCTTATCGCCTTAAGATTTTTATGTCTTTTAGTCAACCTGCATTCATAATTGGGATTATCACAATTTTAAAATTCTTTATGCGCTCTGCCTAATTTTTCTAAGCATGTACCCTATTTGTTTACATTTGAAACTTAACAGAAGATGGATTTTTGCATCTAGAGAAACTAGCTTCGCAACAACAAACACGTCTTCTTTTATTAGTGGAATAACTATGCTTAATTCTTTCAGGAATTTCATTTAAGTTTTAGCTTGTTTTTGCATAAAACTGTAATTAAAAATCGTAATATTGTTTTTTTTTACCTGTTTACTGTACTTGGTGTTTATGTTTTTCATCTCATTCCATTTTTATGAAATTTTATGTATTTTTTGCCTTGCAAGTGAGAACTGAATTAATTAGTAGCGATGCGCACTAGGTAAGGGCGCTGATCGTCTGTGAAAAACGTTTCTTTTTTATTTGTTCATTTCTTTTATACATCGTTTTAGATTTTTATTTTTATAGAACTTACATAATTCTTCAGTGATATAATTTTTCTGCACTCGATTAGAAATGAATGAGATGTACGCTGTTAAAACCTGGCGTTGAAGTGTATATGGTAAATAAATAGTCACCTTGAGATGCATTAATTCTCTTGTGTTTTTCTGCGCTTCCAAATTCTTCAAATTCGTTTCTGAAATGAAATGCAGGAAAATTACGTATAATTTAATATTCTGTACAAGGAAGTCATGTGGTGTACACATCAGATTTTTTATGAGCATAGCAAATTCGTCTGAAAAATGTGTAAATTGTCCTCTCTAATTAAAAAAAAAATGTGCCTCTGTAAATTTGCAGTGGCTGCTATCTAATAATTAATTATGCATAAATTTCGATTTCTACTCATTCTTTAACTAATGTATTAAATTGTTTTCCAGTTTAAACCTCAAGCTATCGTGTTTGACCTGACAACAAATACCAAGTTTGATATGGCAATTATGCTCTTCATCGGCCTGAACATGATAGTGATGGCTATGGATCGCTACCAAATCGACGATACGATGAACACCATATTAGAGAGACTCAATGTGTTTTTCATTGCCATTTTCACTACGGAGTGCGTGCTCAAGATCTTTGCTTTCAGGTGGCATTATTTCAAAGAGCCATGGAATGTCTTCGATTTTGTAGTAGTTAGTTTATCTATTTTAGGTAAGTTCTGTATTGATCAACTGTGCTTATATATACGAAACTGTTATTTTGCTAATATTAAGTTTGTAATTTGAGATGTCCACTTCTAGCAGTGATGATTATGCAGCTTATTTATAAATATGAGTAACGTTCTTGCAAAAACGTGTACAATTTGTGATTTATAAGCATTGCATCACAAATAACATTCTGTATACGACAAGCAATTATATTATACTCTTGAAGCCTTGTGAGGGCCACCAGCGGCCGAGCGGTAAAAGCCGTTAAACACTGGTAGTTCCACCTGGATTCTTTTCCACGCGAATGGGCTGCCTGCATGAACGTTTTTATGGTGTTTCCTATATTCAACGTGAATACGAGTAAGTTTCGTTTATAAATTCCTCCCTTTAGGAAGAACGGACTTGCCCATCACGTCAGTATAATTTTTAATAATAATTTCGATAATAATAATAATAGATAATACGAATAATTTCGATTTGCATAGGCCTAAAGGCTTTTTAATAATTAATTAGATAAACATTTTTACTCATATATTTATTTTTGTTCTCTTAATTTAATTATGGCAAAGCCTGACAGTAGTATAAAAATGGGCGTTCTGCATCAGGAGGGTCAGAGGGTCAGGGGGCGTGGTCAATGACGTCACACAGAGGGCGGGGCCCAAGGCAACGTCATCACTAGGAGGCGGGGTCACGAGAGTTGAGGTGTTGTAGATTGCTGTTGAGTTTAGACCCCCGCTTTTCATTTAAATTAGTTTTTTTTTATTGGCAACAGAAATATTTTTCTGCATCTTATTTGATGAATGCGATGCTGCCCTCTCTTGACGAAAAAGTGAACTTATGTTTTAGATTATTTTTTAAGTCTGGTGTTAAATTATTCAATGCGCGACTCTGAAAACAATGTAAAAGAAACAAATATAAAAAAGACTTTCCTTTAATGTTTCATCATGTTATAAATGTAAAAAAAATTTGTTTTATTACTCATTTTATTCTGATACTTTATCCTTTCTAGTTTTCAGAACTTTAACTTATTCTCAGTTCTATTCATAATAACATTTCATTTACTGTCATATTTTTTTAATACTTAACGTTTCTAATTGTATATTTATTTAATTTCCACATACTATTTTTTTTTCATACCTTTCAAATTTCAGCATACCCGATTTTTAACTTATATGTTATATTTCACAAACGTTTCCGCCATGCTGTTATTTGTTACATTACTTAATTTTAGATGCCTTTTACACTTTTTACGTTATAATGTTCAATGTTCTGAATTTTAACTTCATTTACTTTTTAACCTCTAGTATTCTATACACTTTAACTTAGTGGTTTAAATTCATTTAAAAAGAACGTTTATTTTTCGTGATCTTAGTTCTTTTACATTTTCTACAGATTTCTAATTCTTTTACTGTTTAACAATATCTTCCTTACATTACCGAATTTTTTTTAAAAACTATCTATACGTTAATGCTTTTTCTTACGTTCTTGATTCCCTTCTGTGTTTATATTCTAATTCTAGTTTAACTATTTATTTTTTTTTATTTGTCTCATCACGTAATTCCAACATTTTATCCCTTTTTATTCATTTTAACGATATGGATTTTTTCATTTACTCCATATTCAAATATTTCCTTACAATTTTTTATAATACTTGTTTTTATTCCCGATATAATAGATCATCTACAGGTTTACCAGGTTCCATCACCCCTTACAGTTTAATACATTATATCTAAAGTATTTCTTTCTCATATATTTTTGTCTTAAAAGTTTCGAACATCATATTTAGTTAAATCCCGATTACCTTTAGTGGAGTTGATAATTTTCATTTCTAATTTACAACCACGTTCATTTTCATCCACACATACAAATGCTTACTTTTCTGATAGTGATGCATATTTCAGTACTTCAAATAAGCACTGCTCACACTATTATTTTTTCATATTTTAGAGACACAACTATACTAATTTTATATTTTTCCTCACTAATTCATCTATGTCGCACTCCAGATAAACTACAATTGGTTTTTCATCACATGCATAAACGAATTCTTAAAAACCAACTTTTTCAATATCGTACTCACATATGCGGCCAGAGTAATTCCAGATTCTTTGGTTTTACTCTGTACAATCTTTTTTTTTAAATTTTAACATCTACTTTTAATTCTAAATCATCTTTAAACAGTTTTTCTTTTAATGTGCCTTACCCTATTTGTTCAAATTATTCTTTCATTCACCTTCGTTGACTACAGGTACCTTCAACACTACCGGTCTTTCACTATTCGGTTTATGCCACAAGTTCCGTATTGACAAAACGAATTATTGGTTTCAAAATAAACTACTATATTTTTGCACATTCCTTATCCATTCAGCCACCCTTAACCTTAACTGACAACGATAGGAAAGGAGAGGCTTATCATATCTTTCGACATTTGAGGTTTCTAGAACTTCTTTGACAGGTATATCATACCTCAGAAAATATACTTAACACTTTTTCCCAGTTTAAAGGCACATACTGTTATAAAATGGTTTTTAGTTAAATAACAAAACGCATTTTGGTGCTAAATAGGCATAAACATTTAGATCAGAATATTTCTTTTAATCCGATGTAGACTTGAATTTCATTCATGATACGGAGTCTCTGATTTCTTTTTGTTTACTTACACTAATAGAAATTTTTATTTTACAAGTTCAGCTTTAATGAAAGAAAAAAAACTACGATACACCTGCTGTTTTTAAGAAAAGGAACTTTGATATATTTCTGGAAATGTAAATGCTTTAGAGTTTTCTTTCATAACGTTGATTTTCATTACTTACTAACTTCAATAATTCTCTTATTGCTAATATGAATAAAGAAATTGTCAAAATGTGACACAGTA